TAGGTTTTTGAACAATGTTGAAATAAGTGCACAAGAAGCAGTGTATATAGTACTTCAACTTCCAATGAGGAAATCTTCTCGTCAAGTAGTATTTATAAATACTTCACCCCCTGAGGATAGAGTTCAGTTACTAAAACCATTGCAAGAAATTAATGATTTGGAAGATGATTCTGATGAAATTTATGCATCTGGTCTAATAAAGCGTTACACAAAACGACCAGGCAAACTTGAAAATGTATCCCTTGCAGATTGGGCTGCATGGTACGACTCCACTGGTAAGCCATATATCAAACCATCACATGAATTAGATATTGATAATTATCCACTTGAGACAAACTTGAGTGATAATGATGATAATAATGAGGAAGAAGAAAGCGAACAAAAGAATAAAAAAAGATCTAAAGCCAGAATTATTCGAAGTGTCTGTTTTAACAAGGAAGTTGATTCTGAAAAGCATTACCGTGAACTAATCATGTTATTCACTTCATGGAGGGATGAAATAACTGATTTATTAGGAAATTGTGCTTCTTACCAAGAACACTATTTTCAAGTTAAAAATACAATAGATGAGCAAATGAAATGTTATGCTATGTGCAGTGAAGACCTGAATGCGATTCAAGACCAGCTTAATAATGTGGAAGATAGTGATGAAAACTATGACCTGATTGCCCCAGGAACACAAAACATTGAGCGTCAAGATGAAGATGAAGGTGCACAAGACCTTCATCCAGAATTCAATGAAACCTATGACCTATCTGGTGATCTTGGAATTCCTTCAGCTGCATCTAATACTGAGCAGCTGATATTACATGAAGAACAGGATGATGTTTACAGAGGAATGGTACAAAAATTAAACAGAGAACAAAAAGAATTTTTCTTCCATGTTTTACATCTTATTAAAACTTCTGACAATCCATTCTACTGTTTTCTTAGTGGAGGGGCTGGAGTTGGCAAGTCACATCTCACTAAGTGTCTTTATCAAGCAGCATTAAAGTATTATAATACTAGAGCAGGTGATGATTTCCATCAAGTGAAAATATTAATGCTTGCACCAACTGGTAAAGCAGCTTATAATATCAAAGGTAACACAATACATAGTGCACTTTCAATACCTGCATGTCAATCTTTAAAGAATTACAAACATCTGGATTCAAGCAGGTTAAACAACTTACGGTGTCAACTTGGTGGTTTAAAACTAATATTTTTGGATGAGATCTCAATGGTTGGTAGTACAATGTTCAATGTTCAAATAAATAATAGACTGAAAGATATTAAAGGAAGTAAAGAAGATTTTGGCGGTGTAAGCATGGTTGTTATCGGTGATTTATTTCAGCTGGAACCTGTAATGGACAGGTATATATTTAAGAATCTAGACAATTCAGAATATGCAGTTCTTGCTCCTAATAAATGGCAAGATAACTTCAATATGTTTGAATTGGAAGAAATTATGCGCCAAAGGGAGAGCAAAGTGTTTGCTGAAATATTAAACAGACTTAGGGAAGGAAAGCATACTAAGGATGATATTTTGAAACTAAAAGAAAGATTAATAAAAGAAAATAGCATCCAAGATCCTATGGATGTGCCTCACTTGTTCATACAAAATCAGAAGGTAAATGAATTTAATGAAAGAGTGCATAATGCAGCAACTGGTGAAAAGTTTTCAATCAAAGCTATAGACAGTGTTATAGTAGCTAACTCTGCTCAACTTCGAGATAAAATTTTGAGTCAAATACCAAATGATCCTAGGAAAACTAAGCAAATTGCTTCAAACCTTCAATTGTCAGTGGGGGGAAAGAACTGAAATAGCATTACTGTCGTTCCAATTGAAGCGTTCCTCAAATATTGATTCAATACATTACCTCGGACTGACCAATTCGTTTGATTAAGTTCCTCGAAATATTCATACACTTCCTAGTATAATTGTAAAATTCCTGTTGAATAGTTTGAATGCACCAATCACCTTTGTTGTCTGTGCAACTAACCAATCATAAATAGAAAGGAAGTGACCAGAAATGATCAAATACTTGGAATTGCCTCTTTCACAGGAAGTGTATGAATATCTTGAGGAACTTGATGAAATGAATTGGTCAGCCTGAGGTAATGTATTGAATCAATATTTGAGGAACACTTCAATTGGAACGACAGTAAATGTATGTATTGATGATGACATGACTAATGGTGCTGGTAATGTTGTTAGAAAGATACAATTGAATCAAATAGATAAACCATCCGGTATAATATGGGTCCAATTTGACCATTCAGATGTTGGAGAGAAAACCAGACATGAAAATAGACATCTTTATGTCCAAGGTATTGAGTCCACATGGACTCCAATAAAGCCAGTCACAACTCAGTTTGCTGTGGGTAGAAACCAAACTGCACAAGTTGTTAGAAAACAGTTTCCACTTAGACCCGCTGCGGCTAAGACAATTCACCGTTCACAAGGTGACACTGAACAAAAAATTGTTGTAAATTTCAACACTAGAAGATCAATACCACATATACATTATGTTGGTTTGAGCAGGGTAACAGCAATTGAAGGTTTATTTATCACTGACCTATGTGAAGATAAAATAGCTGTCAATCCTCATGTAGCACTGAAATGGAACATTTGAGAAATGAACGTGTACTAAAACTAAGTGTCACTCCTATTTACAAGACAGACCAAGTCTCATTCAAACTGTGCTATCTAAATGCACGGTCGTTGCATAAACACATTGATGATATTCGGCATGATTTTAATTTTGCTAATACAGACATCAATATTTTTTCTGAAACTCGATGTATGCGCTCGGATAATGCCAGTATGTATGATATTGATGGTTACACCTTGTTCAGAAATGATGGTCACTCTTTGACTACCAGACCCTTTGGTGGCATGGCAGTGTTTAGCAGAGTTGAATTCTTACCTGGATATCCATGTTGTTATAATATCAATGGCATTGAAATAACCATTATGAAAGCAATGATTCTTCCACATGTTACTATAATTGGTATATATCGATCACCCAGAATTTCAGTACAACAATTGTGTGCAGCATTAGATGAAGTTTTGAGGTTTTGTACTTCTCAATTTAACATTTTCATAGGTGATTTTAATATCAATTGGTTGGATGAAGCCAATAGAAGGCCTTTGGATAGATTTCAATGATCATAACTATATGCAATTGGTGTCTAATGTCACTACAGACAATCGGACATTAATAGATCATATTTATACAAATCTACCAGAGTCGCAAGTTAGTTCACACATTTTAGAAACTTATTTCTCAGATCATAAAGCAGTTTGTGCCTTAATTAATTGTTTTCATTAAAGCAAACTTAGCAATGTCATGATAGAAATATTTCTATATTGGGACAAGAGTCACTGGACACAATTCACTTAAATACTTATACATTATGGTTTTATACACAATAGAGTTAAACAAAATTTACTAATTTTCAAATGCCAGTAACAGAATCACCAGGTAAGGAAGTTTTTTTTTACACCTGCCCCCTCCCACCCACCCTCAACCCACCATTTTGCTTTCTAACATAAATGTTTTTGTTTACAGATTAATACAACAGTGACCAATAAATGAACTGGATATATTCGTTGGATAATTCCATCAGAACAACCCACTTGCAAGAGAATCTCACCTAAATTTATTAGTATGGCTATACGAAAATAACTTAACAGCCACAATAATCATATGGATGGATCTGATCAGTGGCATACAATGTACAAAACCAAACTTGTACTCTAACAGATAGCTTGACTCAAGGAAGTGACCAGAAATGATCAAATACTTGGAATTGCCTCTTTCACAGGAAGTGTAAAAAATATTTTATTTTATGCTAGTGTAATATTGTCTGCATGAAATTTTTATTTTCTGACTGCATAATTATCCGTTACAATCATAATCACATTACAAAATTAGTTACATTTTCTCGGCGTGGTGGGCGTGGGAGCAGTTGCCCTTGCTTGTTTGACTTTAAAATTTTATTTGCTATTATAATTATAATTATAATAAGTAATTAAATATTTCAATTGTCCCATGTCATCTTTATTATTCAATTCCTTTCAAGAAAATACAAAATGTGAATCTAGTTTTTCGCAGATACATGTACGCGTAGCGTACCTATTTTTTAAAAACGTTGTGATGCGCTTATCCTCTCCAGTTACTGTTCACATGCAAGACTAACACTAATACTTTCGTTTTCATGGAGATTGAACAACTTTATTTGCTTAATACGATTTTTTATACTGTTTTACGAAACTATGTTTTCAAGATGGCGATGAGAGGCTGAAAATTTCTCATATTTTACTTAAAATAGCTCAAAAGTGGCACCTATCTGAAGTTCAAAAGGCATGTAATTTGAAAGTATACCTACTAAAGTTAAGTAATCAGGAATAAAACTCGTCTGCAAGCAATTTTCCGCTGAAAAGTTAAAAATCTCCAAATTGGGTCTATTTTTAGCTGTTTGTTTACATTCGCGTGTTCGCTGATCAGCGACACTAATAATTGAAGAGTTAAAATAAGCTGATTTATTACCCAGTAAACTTTCTTAGCTTGTTCACAAGATTATATACAATTTTGTGAAAATATAATTACAATATATACAAGCGATCGTGTACAGAACATTCCCGAATTCGAATTGCTTTACATTTACACTTGACTTCCACTTGCACTAATTACACTTACACACACAGTAGTACAGTTACAACGATTCTGCTGATGTCTACGACCATGATATATCTTCTAATGTTATTAAATATATATATTGGTAATATAATAAGAACTTCGTCAAAAACATTGACACAATACCATAATCTCGTGATTATGACTTTGATCTGCCGCTCCCACGGCGGGAGGTGCATGTCTGAACGACCAATGTGAGTAGAAAACTTACATAAGTGTCTCTGTGTGATGTTTAGGTCATGAAATAGTGTTACAGGTTATGGTTTAATGCACTTTGCAGAAACTCGCCTGATTTTGATCTCGCTCAATATGATAATCAGAATCCTGTTTAGCCGAAGGGTTGCTATTTTTATAAAAATGCGTGTACTGACCCAAGTCTCGCCCGATTAGACAAATTTGGGTAACGTTTGTTTATACCCAATTCACAACTTTATATAACACACATGCCTAGTTACTATTGTTCTAGATTACAAAAGCATAAAATAAAACGGCAACCGGTCCGCAATGAAACATTTTTTGGCCGGTCAATAATAAAATGGGTGCAATATGCATGCGTGTCAACTGCGAAGTTCCAAAATTCATTTTTTAAACTTTTTATTTACGGCGTTCCATTTATCCAGTTTTGGTTTCGAATTAAGTTCACTCCAATAACCGGTGAATTATTCATACTTCGACACTTATATACTATATAACAAAACACTTATTTACTGAGACCTCAGGAAAGCAGTGTGTTTTGTGGCCCCTCGACTGCCGTTGTTGCCCTCGGCGGTCTCGGGTCCACAAAACACACTGTTTACCTCGGTCTCAGTAAATAAGTGATAATACATAAGTTTAATGTTTAGTTACTTTTGTTCTATTCAGTATATGCTTCTATAAACTAGAATAATAGTAACTATGCATGTGAGATATCCAAAGTTGTGAATTGGGTAGCAACGATGTAAACAACGTTAGCCAAATTTGTCTATTGGCTTCATTTTTTATTGAGTCTATCCACTGATCTCATATTGACAGGATAGACCCAATTGAAAATGATCTAATAACAGACTGGATAGTCATGTTTGTCAGCTGTTCCTGGGTAGGATTAAAGTTCCCTGCTCTGGCAAGTATAAGTTCTCTCTCATTGATGGTAAGCCTTGTGAGGTGACAACTTCTGAGGTGATTACAAATGTCTTCATTACACTCACCAATTTGTACAACTTTCTGTATTCCCCGGCTTTCTCTGCATGCAAAATTCCCCAGGCCAGCAAACAGGGACGAAACTTGAGGGTGTGTGTGTGTGGGGGGGGGGGTGACACCCCCAAAATACAAATCATCTGGATTGGCAGGGCAATGAAATATTTTAAATGATAGAATGTAGAGTTATTAAGTAGCTTCCACGGCTTCCAGAGGGAATTGAATAGAATTTTTTCTACCTCCCCCCCCACTGCAGGGCATTTTTGCTGCTGGGCATCATCGGCTTTCGCAGGGCAATTCTAGCAGACACCCCCCTCCCAATTAAAAGGGGCTAGTTTCGCCCCTGCCAGCAAAGGAACAGTTCTTTTCCATGACTCAAGCATGCACAAAGTAAAAATAGGAGCTGCTATAAAAAATAACTGGCAAGCTAGTGTTGCAGTTCTACTTGGGAGAATGTAGATTTCAAAGTCAAAATACTAGAACTTTCCCACTTCCGCTTTTGTGGTTTGTTGTCTCTTACTGCATTTCTGTTATTGTAGCGGTTAACAAATTATAGGGAAATATGACGACACAAGTTAAATTTCGAAACCTTTATGTGTTCATATGCAGTGAATCAAACGCATAATGCATCCTTTATTACAATTATTCAAACTATTACAAAAATCAAAGAAAACTAAATTTTATCGCCATATTTCTCCATAATTCGGCAACCGCCACGTACACTATTAACTACAAAACAAAATAGTAAATGACAACAGACTACAAAATTACTGAAGTGGAAGTGCGAAGGTTGTAGTATTTTGACTGCAATTATGTACAAAAATATGTTGCACTCATGCAGCAAGAATTAATGTCCGACCTTTCCGGCAAAATTTCCATTTACAGGGACAGAAAAAGATTACGAGACGAGTTGAATAGAAAAGTTAAAGCACCGAACACTTCTTATATACAGCCAGAGATACTGACAGCTTTGAAATTTGCTACAACCACAGAAAGTACCGCCCGTTTATACTTTAAAAAGATATTTAACAGTTGTGAAATTATTCATGCGAATAAGCCAAGAATGGTTAAGGTTGTATTTTGAATGTTTCTATGTTGTGAATTAGAACCTGGATAATAAACCAGCTTATTTAACTTTTTAATTATTACTAATGTCGCTGATCAGCGAACACGCGAATGTAAATAAACAGCTAAAAATAGACCCAATTTGGAGATTTATAACTTTTCAGAAAATTGCTTGCAGACGAGTTTTATTCCTGATACTTTCAAATTACATGCCTTTTGAACTACAGATAGGTGCCACTTTTGAGCTATTTTAAGTAAAATATGAGCAATTTTTAGCCTCTCGTCGCCATCTTGAAAACATAGTTTCGTAAAACTATAAAAAAATCGTATTAAGCAAATAAAGTTGTTCAATCTCCATGAAAACGAGAGTATTAGTGCTAATCTTGCATGTGAACAGTAACTGGAGGGGATAACGCATCATAAAGTTTTTAAAAAATCAGATGAATTATTGTGAAATTCCCTTCATTTCCGGTCTGAAAATATTCTCGCAAGGTCAAATTTCAACATGGGCTATAACTCCTATAAAACAGAAAGTTGAAACGTTCTGAAAGAAGCTCGATTAATATTGACCAAAGTCTAGTTCATATGCAAAATATGAGCTAAATCTATTTTTCCTTCCCCAAACCAGTGGGTGGA